GACACTCGGGCTCTGCCACATTCCTGTGCAGAGGAAGGCGGGAGGCGGCGTTAGCCCTTTACGGACAGCTGGGTTCAGCGCTGCCCTCAGCTGCTGTCGGCGTATTTACAGACGTCTCTCGCGGCCGCGGGAGGAGGAGGAGGAGGAGGAGGAAGAAGAACAACCATGTAAGTTCCGAATTGCCGGCGGTCCTGTGGAGAAGATGGGGGATGCCGTAGACGCCAAGGAGATGAGGAAGACTTTCATTGTTCCTGCCATCAAACCCTTTGACCATTATGATTTTTCCCGAGCGAAAATCGCCTGTAATCTCGCCTGGCTGGTGGCCAAAGCCTTTGGGACAGGTAGGTGGCGTCGTCTTCTTCCCTTTCTTTGATGCTGGTTCCTGCTTGGTTGCTTCGCTCCTGAGGACGTGCGAGCCCTTCCCTGAGGAGCGGGGAAAGGGGGGGGGGGGGGGGGAGGTGCGTAGGAAATGGTTTGGGGCTGTTCCCTCATCTTTAGGTTCCCTTAAACCTTGTGGGTTTTTTTCGTTTTCGTTTGTTTTTTTTAACTACCTGTAATTTTTCTGTAGTAGTACCACTGTTTCCAATAGTGAGTAAATTTTGTGTATTGGAGCTAATACAAATCTATTTGAGAAAATGAACTCTGTAAGTTGTGTTTTATTTATTCCCCGGCTCGCACTTCCAGAATGTGAAAAAACACCAGCGATCCGTGTCTGTCTGTCGTCTCGAAAATTTTCCTAACATTGTTTAAGAGCTGAATTGGGGGCTAGCAATGGAAATGGATGTGCACTGTTGGTTTTGACATGCGTGACAGTAGCCTGTAGCCATCTGAGAGGTTAAGCAGTAAGAAGCGTTTCAGGGAAAAGAGCGTTTAATGCCAGGTTTGGGCCTGCACAATACAGAAGGCAGTCCTTCTCTGCAAGCGTAAATGGAATTGATTGTAATGCCTCCGAAAGGCATTACTGCTCTGTCTTTGAAAACCTGGGCCTTGAGGAATACCAGACCTATTATTCTATGCCAGAGATATTGTTGGGCCTTGAGGAATACCAGACTTCTTACAAAGGTCTTCTGAGGGAAGCGTTTTGAAAATTTACCAAGCTGTTTGTTGGTTTGTTTTTTTTTAAATATAGCTGTGGTGTATGAATCACTTAATTTTCTGTGGATTAAAAAGAGGGGCTTTCTTTGAAAGGTGAGTTAGATATTAACAGTCAATATTTTTACCCCTATTCTTTGTAGAATAACAGGAAAAAGTTCCTCCTCCTGGAATTTTGTACCTTTTGCATTTTGGGCCAGAGCATTGTTATGTATTTGAACAAGGTTAAAGGTGTACCCTGGGAACTGATGATATTTGACGTGGTGCTTGCAAAAATCTACTTTCAGGGTGGTTGAACCTAGTGAAATTTCAGTAAGGTCAGTAGCTACTGAAATAAAGTGCATGTTCATCACTTTAAAAAGAAAAAAAAGATCAAAATACTGTTTCCATATAAAGATTTGTCAGTAAACTCTACTTACTTTCCTTTGTGAAAGGAAATCTGGGAAAGTATATAATATTTTTATATATAGCTTTGTTACCTTTGCAGACATGAGGAGGAAAACAGTAGTAGTGAAAATTCTTGGAAGTACTTGATTCGAGATTTTCAGAGATCATTGTCTGTTTAGGTAGCTTGGTTCTATAGGCTCGGCTCATTGGATTCTGGGTGTACAGTGCTTGTGCAATTATATAACCCAGCATTCTAACCTGAAAACCTTTTTCTACTGGAGTTTGACAAATTCTTAGCCTGGGGTTGAAATGTTTTGGTTTATATTGGTTTAGTTTCTATTGGATGTGTAAAGCAACTTGCAGGGTACTTTTCTGCTACTTTCTATAGAAAGTGTGATCCAAACCAAATTCCTTTACCTTTTTCCTCATTACTGTGGTTGTTCCGAGATGCACAAATGAAACGTGATTAGAGGAGATAATAGCTCCATCTGCTCTCTAAATACTGCCATAATGTAATAGTAGGAAGAGAGGTAAACTTACACAGTTGTAGTGTTTCTGATCTCTTACTTCTTCCAGTAGATTAATGTCACTAGTAGCCTCAAAGAAGAGTTTGTGGCTGAAGTAGGGAAAAACAGTATATAGGACTTGCATGTCTGCAATAAAAATACTTCCTTTATGTTTGGAGCGAAACAGAAGAACTGACCTTCACCTTTTCCAAGAAGGAAGGAAGTTTGGGTTTGTTAAATTATTTTAATTCTTTGGACTAGATCACAACCTCAGTTGTGTCTTCTACCTATTGCTATATCCATTTGTACAAAGGAAATGCAAAGGATGATTAGTGTGTTTATGGATGCCACATCTCATTTCTTTTTTTATCCCTGAAATGTTGGAATTCCCTAAGCGGGCAGGGGAAATGAAAGATTTTTCCCCACCCTCTCTGAAATAAATTAATGCCATTCATTTTGATTAATGAAAAGTGTAAGTTGGTGCAATCTTGTATCTATTGAAGAAATCTAAATCATTATCTATCAAATGGGCACATCTTTCCATGGACATTTCACATTCTTAAAAGCATGTTTTAATACCATCAAAACTCTGGATGCAGCTTGGCTAGGTGTTGTGAAGAGAATTCTCTCTTGAAAAGACTTTGAAATAGCTACTGTTCATTAACTTGTAGTAGTGACTTCTGATGGATATCTGCATCCAAAAACGGAGAGATCAATTGTATATTGCTGTGGTCCTCAGTGAGGCTGCAAGAATAGAGTTTGGCCCACAACACAGGCAGGTCAAAGTAAGTTGTCTTACTAGTAAGGCATCTTAGGAGAGTAAAAGTATACTAACAGTCATGTTGAAGGTATCTTGTATGAAGATTTTTTTAAGAAATAATAATTGAAGACAGCGTTCATATTTAAGTGTTAAGGGAGTGCAGGATTTTGTGCCTTGATGATTTACTGCAAGAAAATGTATCAGTGTTAGGACAGGTGTCCTGGTTAAATGTTTTGTAATAAGCAAATGATTTAAGTGACCCAACTTACAGTAACTGAAAGGGGGAAAATTAACAAAAAGCATGAAGCATAAAAGTGGGAATGTTTGACCTTAAAAATTAAATCTGCAAACATTAAATTTCAACATTAACTGCCAATGCTGTGATTTAACTATTTCAGTTTGGCAAAACTGCTTTCCAAAGAAGTGGTTGAACTATATTGATATTATATACTTCAACTTAAAAGTATAACGGGACCTACTTTATAGGAATAATTTAAAAAAGGTCTTGATGTTGTGTAACTCTGTGTCCTATTTCTAAAACAACAGAAGTGGATTTCATTATTTTGGAGTGTGAAGTTTTTGTCTTGTCGCTCTACTGCAGTCATAGAAAATGTGGCTGGAAAATTTGTTATCCATTCACCGACCTAAAGACAGGCTGAGCTAAGTATACATCATTCATGACAGATGTTTGTTTAGCCTGTTTTCTGAAAATCTGTAATTATGGAGATCCCACGGTATGTCTGCTAGTCAATTTGAGTCCTTATTTATCTCTAGATGTTAGAACAGCATAATAATCTTGATGTCTTTTGCTACACTGTAAACCTATTACTTCTTCTATTCCTGTTGGATCTGAGAATGGTGGGTGCCTTACCTCTTTATAACACCTTCAACATAATAAAAACAGTGTCTCCTCTCTGTTCTGCTGTTTAGACAAAAGAGACCTTTTTCAACTTCATTTTCGTAAGTCAAGCTTTTTTGGACTCTGTGTTTTGTTTTTTCAGTTAGGTTCCCCTCCTCCCCCCTGTATTTTTTCTGTGGTCAGTTTTGCATGGATTCTGTACTTAAATCTAGATCTAATGGTCTACAGGGTAGATCTGTAAAATTACTTCATCTTTCCAACCTATAATATTCTCATTTATTCACTAGAATATGATGTTTGTCATTTTCGCATCAGCCTAGAATTGTTGACTCATTCAGTCTGTGATTCACTGTAGCTCCATATCTTTCTCTGCAGAACTGCTGCCTACTCAGTTGTTCCCATCTTCTAATTGTACAGTTGTAGGTTCCTGCTTTGCAGCTATACTTACATAACTGCATCCTATTTTCAAACCACTTCTTCCACTTATCAAAATCATCCTGAATTATAATTTTGTCCTCCAAAATGCTTTCAGTCCCTTTGTAGCTTGGAATAGCTTCTCTAGAACCTCAGCTAGTATAAATGAAAATACTAGTTCTTGTACCTTGAAGTACACATTCTTCCCATTTGATAAGGGGACCTCTGACTACTCTTGGAAAACTGTTTTTCGGACAGCTTTACATCCAATTTTTAGTTACTCAGTTAAGACTATCTCTGACATGTATTATGGGGGAAAAAAAAATTATGGGGAAAAAAAAGAAAATTATGGGAACAGTTTTGAAGTCAAGTTAAATCTGTTGCTGTTCTACTGTCCATACAATGTATTACCCTGCTACACTAATAAATTTCACCAATTTAACATGAGGGTTCTTTTGACAGGAATAAACAAAAAAAACTAATAAAAGCTGCACAAGTCTGAGCGCTTGTCTTAAACATTGTTGTGTTTTCTGCAGTCAAAAAAATAGTCCATCCACCTTTTAACATTCCATTTGTCCTTTATAGGTGTCTGAAGCAATAGATTACAAATTGCATCATCTGCAACTAAACATTACCCAAGAAACTTAAAAATAGCTTTCTTCTGATGATTAATATTTTCAGAATCCATACGCAGCTACTTACTGCTGTTTACACATGTTGCCAGTAGAACCATGAAGGGAGGAAATGAACATTGTGTATCTGACAGAAACAAGTTTTAACTAAATACTCTCATCTGCTAAGTTGAGCGTTGCAGGCCAGAACATCTTTTAATCTTTTCCTAGCAGACCTAATTGCTTTGCTTTTACTTAGTGTGGCAACTAGCAAAAGCTTGTGCAAGAGTTGGAGTATAAAAGCAAATGTTTGAGATTCCTGTGAGGAATTGTTTTTTAATAGATTCCTTTCCATAGCCTCTCTAAAATAGTTGCTGACAAATTGATACTTTGGTCAATCCTACTAAAATCGGTTGATCATTTACTGAGAATGGTCTACTTAGAAGTTGATCCTATCACTCCTTTCTGTAGAACACATTTAAAGCATGGTTTGACTGTAGATCACTTTTTAAAGTAAATAAATAATTGTATGAGCTTCTGGATCTGTTAGGTTTGGCAGAGTCATCTGAGGTTGTAGACTGCATGTACAAAAGTACAGGAAGGTGAATTAGTTAGTTAACAGTTGTTGTCAGGATTCTTACTACATGATAGACCTCAGGTGGGGTAGTTTATAATCTGTTCTTTCAATGACTTCATGTCATTGAAGCTGTTC